TGGTTGGAGCCAATAGCTGACAATCCCCCATGCTGTTAGCCAAATGAAAGCTAATGCAACTATGAATTAGCAGCTCCAGGAGCCGTGGAGGAGGGAGTTCAATTCTCCCTCCAACTCAGCTCCAGCCTGGATGCAGAGGAGCCCCAGAGGCTGGTGTGCCCTCCCCAAGCCCGCACGTGTCGGAGGGGGTGGCGGGGAGCAGGGCGCCCCCCAGGCTTCCCCGCTCAGGTCTCAGCTTGTGATCTCAGTCATGCCTTGTCTCCAACGGGGCCCACATTGAGGCCTGCCTCTTCTGAAAGTTTTCAGGTGCAAAGGAGCTCTGTCGCCTCTGAGAAAAATGGATTCATCTTCTTACCTTCCCCTGCCAACCTGGAGAAGGACTCTTTCCTCATGGTGAGCCCTGGCCTGGCACCCGATCCAAATTAAGAAGTCCCCAGTCAGCCTGAATTCAGTAACAGTGTAGCCCCCAAATCTTGAGACTGGCCATTTCCTCACCTTGTTTTCACCCATCCCCACCAGATGTTAGTGAAACTAAGAGGACGTAGGGGACAAGGACGCCTTCCTTTTACTTAATGAAAATTTGCTCTTGAATTCTTCCCTTAGAGGAAATGCCTGCCCTTGACCCCTCACATCACTCATTCTGGTCCCACTGACCCTGTGGTCATGCCCAGCTCCCAACCTTCCACCCAACATGGCACTTATGCTCAGAAATGGATTCAATATTTATGTGTGACTTCATTTATCTTTCGGTCTGTGATTTAATCTCGTCCTGAGCTTGCCCTTACCCGTGGCGCTGTATGAATGTGCCTGCAGGCTCCAAAGAGGCCACATCAGCCCCGTCTAGGCAGGTCTGTGTGTACAGTACAATCTGTAAAGGGCTTCTTTTGATGCAGTGGGGGATAATGATATCAGATTGTGCCGAGAAGGGCAGAGAAGAGCTGAGATGAGACGCAGGAGTGAGGTGTTCTGTGGCGGAGATGGAATCTCCATCCCTCCCTCCCCGGACATGGCTTTCACTGTAAGCGAGGGGAGGGAAGGGATGAAGATGAATGTCTTACCATGGGGGCTGCTCAAGGCCCAAAGCCATCTCAAGAGCCAACCCCGAGGCCCCCAGGGAGAGGCCCAGTGGAGCCGCACCAGGGCCTGTGACACTGATGGAACATTTATCAGGAATCTGTGCAAATGAGAATGCCAGAGCAGGCTGGTCCCAGGAGACTCTGTCTGCCGGAGGTGGGAGGTTGGAGGAATATCTCAGAATAAAATCTTTTAATGTTCCTCTCCACAGCAATACAGCCTCCTTAATATGACAGACCGGAGCTCCTGCGTGCCTTACTGCCTGCATGCTGATGAGTGGAGCCGTGTAACAGTGCCTCTGGGTGAGGGGACTTTACAAACAACTTGGCTTTGCGATGCTCAGAGATAGAGAAGGAAGATGAGGCTGCCCCCCTGCAAGCCCGGGGGTCTCAAGGAGAGCCCCCAGGGAGAGTCCCCGCTCTTGGAGTGGCCACACCGAGGGAGCCGGGGGAGATGTCTGAGCCTGCCTTCCACTGAAGGACCCCATTCATTAAAACAATATACAAAACACCCTCCAGCACAGGCCACACGACTCCCAGGATGAATGCAGGTCACTGTCCCTGCCTCGTGGCCACTCCATGGTGCTTGAGTGACCCTCTCCAGCTGGGAGAGCAGGGAAGGGTGTGGGACCTGGGCTTTTACGGGATGAGTAAGCCCCTGTTTTCCGAGTTCAAGGTTAAGGTTGTGCCCTGATTCTTTGTTGCCAGGTTCTTGAGATCAGTTGACAGGGTGACACGGTGGCCAGTGTGAATTGAGCCCTTTGGAACCCTGTTCTGTGATAATGGTGATGAGGAGGAGAAGGTAACACCACATAACATGTACTCAGTGTTTCCACGTGCCAGGCATGGCAGCATGGGTGTTAGATGCTTGTATCATTTAATGCTTACTCAGCTCTTCGCTCGATAATGCCATTACTCCATTTTTATTAATGAGTAAACTATGTCTCAAACAGATTAATAACTTGATTACAGTTATAAAGCTCTTAGGTGATGGAGAGTGTAAACGTATTAATCATTGGAAGAACACGCACGGAGCTCCCTTGCAGTATGCCGTACTGCAGAGTGCTTGAGCCAGAAGAGAATTTGGTGTCATCTGGCCCAACACTTTTCATTACTCTGGTGAAAAACACCGAAGCCTGGAAAGCCTGGAGAGACTTCTGTAAGGCTGAAGCCCTGGAAACTGGCGAGGCTGGTATGAGACGCTAGTTCTGCTGAATTCTAGCCCTTTGTTCATTTCGCTTTGGCAAACTCCTTCTCTCGTCGTCTGTCAGTGTGGAGCATTGCAGGATTTTAATTCTTAAGTAACTTGTTGATGGCTTGTGGGGAATTAAGTGCCTGACGGAACTCAACCATCTAAAAATTGGAAAACCACCAAGGGGAATGCTTTTGTCCGTTGAGAAGTTACAGCTGAACTGAGGCAGACAGCTGGGGAGCCCGCCACCTTCCCTGGGGGTGCACCACCCACCATGGGGGCATCTCTGCCTCCACCCAGCCCACTTGGGGATGGCTGCAGAGTTGGAGGCGTCTGGCTCTGGGACCCTTGTTCATCCAGGCAGGCTTGTCCCTGAAGACTGAAAAAGGATGACGAGGAAAGAGTGGGGAAATGACCAGAGATGAAGCCTTCTGTCTAACCCACCCAGGCGTGCCTAGCCCGTGCTCTGGGCTGGAGTGGTTTAAATGCCAGTTTATGTCCCATGCTGGGCTGGCTGCCAGGAGTCCCTTGGAGAGTAAATTAAAGGTAGATTCCTAACCTCTTCTCCTGAAACTTCTAATTCAGTAAGTCTAGGTTATGATGCATCTATATTTGTAAAAATTGCTTGCCAGGTAATTCTGATTATTGGCCAGACTTGGACCCACCACTGAGGGCTCTAATGTCACTGGGCAGAAACACACTGGGAGCTGGAGAGATCAAGTGACAGAGATGGCCAGTTAAATGAAAGAAGGTGGTGTGGGGCCTGGGGATGTTTTTGTTTTTGTTTTAACTGTAACTCCTGGGCCGTGGCTAAGTATGATGCTGAGAGTGATTCTGGTGCTGAGAAACAAGAGAGAAAGGACTTATGAGCAGGAGCCATTATTTGAATGCAGATGAAATTTTCAATAATTACAACTTCTTGTCAAACATAAAGGCTCGATTGAAATAAAATCATGAATGGTGTCCGGATTATCTAGATCGATTCTCCTGTAGACACAGTCCTGGTATTCAGCAGATAAAGCTTCTATCACACTAGGCAATTATCTGGATAAGTGAGACAACTGATAAACTCCACAGTAACCTGGCCATAAGTGGATTCGCTGGGACAACTCTGGCCGATGGAGCTGGAGCAGAGGAGGGAACCAGAGCACAGTCCCAAAGGCTGCAGGACCGTCATGGCCTCATCTGGTGCTGTTGACATTTAAGGGCTGAATTACTGCCTGTAGGAGGAAAGATGGGGGAACAGGATAAATTAGAGGTCTAAGGTCATCCCTCAGTTTTGCAGCTGGCAGGCTCCCAAAGAGAAGTGTTATGAGCCTTAAAAAATATGGCAACTTCAACACTGAGAACATGACCTGAGCACATAAGAGATGAATGTGTGGACACTCTGTGGTAGCAGACGGGGGTGAACACACACACACAAACACACACACACACATGCATGCATGTGCACACATGCACACACACATATATACACAGTGCAGAAGTGGAGAAAAGTTACTTCTCTCTGTTGTAAATTCAAATGAAGTCCGGAGTAGTGAAGGCCATTTGTAAGGTCTGCTGAGCTAATGGATTCATAATGACTTTTAAAGCTTCACTCGGAGAAGGAACACTGTTCATTTTTTAATTGCACATAATTATACTTTTTCATAATCTAGGGCGGCATAGCAAAAGTAAATCTACTGGCTTAATTATAAATCTTTTTATTATCTGGAACCCTGCTGAAATAGGAGGCAAAAGAAACAACTATTGTTCTTCTAGTCTAGGAGAAAGGATTAAAAAAAGTTCTCTCAATGTTAAATGAGTTATGGTGCTTTTGATGGGAAAACACTGGTTAGTTTCACGGTCGATACTCCTTTTGGGGGAAGGCGGTTTGTAGAAGGGCCAGGGGGTTCTGCCTGCCTGTGGCCCACACTGCTTCTTGTCCTGGAGGAGTGAGCATTTGGTGGCCTTTTCAATAAGCTAAGAGTCCACATTTATCCCTAGAGGTGGACTCTGGGCAGAGCTTCCAGCTTGAAGGGGCAGGAGACTGGGGGGTGGGGCAGCGGAGGGGGTGAGAAGTCAGAGCTGGTGAAGCTCCTGGGGGCATAATCAGATGCTTCTTTCTACTGGGTGTCTCCTAATGATTTTCCCAAGGCCCTTGTGTGACGCTGTGGCTCATTCCGAGTGACCCTGAGGGGGAAGATGCATCTCTGATGGACATGGGATGATAAGTTGGCCAGGAAGATTCATGGCTTTCATGGAGATAAGATTTGCTGTATTCTCAGTTTCCTGCAAAGCAGAAATGCTGAATCAGTCATGCAAGGGAAACAGCACCATCTGGGGGGAGTGAGGGCAAGTTCCAGGGCTGTGTGGAGGGAGGGAGGGATATTTTTCTCACCGAGGTACAGCATGGTTCTCCACGTCCGGCTCTCCTTGTGTCTTATCTCGCAAATCCGAGAGATGCCCGCAGCCTGTCAGAGGGCCCGTCTCTAGGAGGCAGCAGTTGGGTGGTCAGTGGAAGCCCTGTTAGTGCTGGAACTTGTGAAAATGGGGTGCGCTCTCAACGGCCCCGTCCCAGCCCTTGCTGAGCTGCCCCCAGGGGCCTGTCTTCTCCCTGGGCCAGGGTTCCACGGTCCCTTCCAAAGGCATCAATTCTGGATGCCCCTGGTTTGAATGAGTCAATTATTCAGTCATTGTTTGGGAGGCAGGAATCCAGAAAGAAAAACTAATTAAGCCCTTAAAGGTTGAGCAAGCCATTCGGGTCTGGCAGAGATGAATGGTGGGGCAGCGCACCTCAGAAGGGGGAGATTACTTCTTGTGAGGAGACAGCAGTTAGCAACTAACATCTCTGAGTCCCTCTGAACTGCTTTTTAACCATCCTCTCCCAATTCCAAACCGACATGCGCGTCAAGCCCCATGACAGCTCAGTACGCTGCAAAGTACCTGTGTACCTGTGCCACACCTGGAATAGCCATCGTGGCCACCTCGGCGGTGCGTGCGGTCTGTGCCCGGAGCTGGCTCCTCTCACTGAAGCCTCTGTTTGCCCAGGCAGGCTCCCGGGGCTGGGCTTCACCCTTCGCGGGGCCTCTTGTCTCCTTTTGCCGCTTCTAGGCTCCAGGAGCTGTCCTTACATCAGGTGCTGCCGAAAAGCAGTGTTTCAGTTTTTACCCCTCTTTCTAGAAAGAAGCAGAAGGAAGTGGAGAAGTCCCTTACTGTCCTCTACATCCTGTAATTAGTGTGGGTTTCCTGGAAAAGGTGGACTTTAAGGTGCAAAGGTGGTAGTAAACAGTGAAAAGACAACTGGGTCGAGAAAGACTTTATTGTACGGTGTAAAGTATGAATATTGTAACACACCTGCAAGCATTATGAGTGTTGCTAGCTAACCTGAATCCCGCTCGGAAACTTCCAGACCCGTTTCCAAGTATATGATCAATAGAGACCTAGAACAACTGGTCACTTTATCCCAGGGCATGCACTTTATTCCCTTCAGCTCCCTCATAGCCAACAAGACACATGCAAGTTGAGCATCCCGGCACCACCACTTACTAGCTCTGTGACCTTGTGCAATTTACTTAACCTTTCTTAGCCTCAGTGTGTTCATCTATAAAATGGCAATAATAATACCGAGTTTGCAGAATTGTAAGAATTAGAGAAAAGATAAAAGTCAGGTGCCTGGAGTCAGAGGCTGGGTACCTAATTGATGCTCAGTAGGTGGTTTTTGTCCTTGTCACTGTTATCATTGTCGCATGACTGGATGCAGAAAACTGCGTACAAGTCACTATTTTCCCACTTGCTGGGAGTTTGATCTTGGATGAATTGCACAGTTTTTCAAAACCTTAGTTTTGGCATCTGTGAAGTGACTAGTAATTTCTACTTTACCAGAGAGCAAAAGGTTTGGCAACAGCAAACAGAAAAGCCAACCACAGTGGCTTAAACAAGTAGGGATCCATTCATCTCACTTAACAAGCCTGCCAGGGACATGATGCTAGAGATGGTTCAATAGCTTAACCTCATCAGGACCAGCACCTCAGCAGCTCTCCAGGGTTCTCCGGACCTTTTCTATTGGCTCCACTCTTCGTGGTCTCAGTACAACTGCTGTCCCTTTACCGCGTCGGGGAAGGGGGAAGCAAAAGGCGCGGAAGATCTACCTCTTTGTGTCAGGAAAGCAAAAGCTTCCCCAGCCAGCAAATTGATGCTCGCATGTCCCTGACCACGACTGGGATGAGGGTCGGCCCAGCCAGCTAACAGTG